GTTGAAAACATTTATATATGTTCTGAAAAAAACAAGTACAAAAATCATGCTTATTTATAGGCATGATCAGCTTGATGATGGTAATAATGTTAAATATATTAGACTTTTTGGATTATACATTGTTCCACGTGTTTTGCCCAAGAAAGATGTAGGCATTACATTGTTCACAAGCAATACAGCCGTGAAAAACATCAATAAAAAGTTTTAATTTTTTCTAAGTGAAGACCCAGTTGATTTATGAACTTTGCATCTGAAGTCATCTCTTGCCCAATAACCAACTGATTACAATCATATTCATCTAGGGAAATTAAAACGGAAGCAGAAGTCACGGATCAACAAAAACAATAACTACTACGATGATATGATGATTAGGAGTATTTGAATTATAGTACGAACTAACGCAGTAAGAACAAGAAGTAATAGATAAGAATCAACGGATGTACTATAATTGGAATTCAAAATCAAGCATTCAACAAGTGCGAAGGAATCGTTAGTTCATACAAACACCACAGATGGCCAATTAGTTTTACCCCAAAACATCTCTACGTTATTTTATGATGTTTTGTTCGTGTTAGATATTATTCAAACTTGTTAAGGTTATCTGGGATGGTGTTGAATTAAGGTGACAATACGTATGGTGGTTTACTTAGTAGGATGAGTAATAAAAACGACTCAGCATTCGAAGTTCTAATAATCTCACTTGTAAAATGGAATATACATACAGATATAAGCATGTTTCTAGATAAGTAAACATCGATGCATCGAACAAGGGATGGGAGCGACTTCATTTCACAAATAGGTTGTAGTACATTATTCTAGAGTCTGGGAAATTTACGGGTAAAGTAATTCATATAAAGAGAATAGTTAGAGCGAGAATATTCCATTAATGACAAGGATTTCATCAGATGTAAAACATGGTTTATCAAGTATTTCAAAGAAGAAAATTAGATTTAGTCTCTGCCTCTTCAAAGGGTCGAGTCCAAGTTTATTACGTCTGGATTTATAATTTAAAATATGATTAGTTCTAATAATGCGAAATGTTAACCATATCTGAACGAATTCCAGGCCTTTTTATAATCTATGCAAACACTACGAAGAATAAACGCAAAGTATTCTAAGAGTGGTCGAAGATGTATTTTGCACATCAAAACGCGTGAATGGTTGCGTAAGAAGATTATGAAACCTGTAAGGCGGTGAGGTTTCGAAGGCTTTTTTGGCATTTGTACTGAGAAGGACAAGTTGTAAGGACACCTGAATCCTGAGTTCACTATTATATGTGACTCGGATAACACCTTACCATTTATGGAAAGATCTAGGTTGAGAGAAGTATTGCACTTGCATATCCATCTATGTTGATCTGTATCAAGCTACAACTATCACTTTAGGCACAACTGGACTATGTTGTTTAGCTCTATACTGATTCAATTTCGCGTATTGTTCAGTTCATGAAGAGAAAATGATTCACTAATTTAAGATCATCTGGATATAAAACAGGCTTGGTTATGCCAAAGAAACCGGAAATAAAATTTATATAAACTAAAAAGATCAAAGGAGCATCTTTTTTTATCGGAACAGCACCCGATAAATAGGAGTTAATTTTTAGTAATTGGTATTGTTGAGTGAGGAGAGAATTAAAACCAACCAAACAGATAGTTTTCGAATTCATACGATGCGGGTTTGCCTATGAGAGTCTGGTGATTAGCCATGTCCAAAGATTTGGATATGTAAAGGTACAACTATGATTAAGTACTTAAAACTCCTAACTAATAGCTTCAAACCTATGCTTTTCTTTAATTTGGCGACTGTCATGAAGTCGTTTGACCTATAGCAACCTTTCTTCAGGTGTCTTAATTCACTGCAATATTTTACTGGTGTAAATAACTCCTTAGGCATTCTAAACCAGTACATCCTAAGAGATGAGCAGGAATCTGTACATAAGTTGGTGATCAAAGATAATGTGTCAGTAGCATTGAAGAGACTACAACGTGGGGATTTATCCAAGCCTGAGAGCATATGCGTACACTTTATTACCGACTGACTTTTTGTATCGGTTTCGGTGGAGATAGCGTGATATCTTTTAGAATATTAGATCAAGTATAGCATCATGCCTTGATTGGGCAAAAACCTATTAGGATCAGCAGAGCATGTCATTTTGCTGCCATGAATTTGTGGATTTATGATTTAATTCAGTATTAGTACATTTGTCTTCATTATTTTAGTAACAGACCCCATTCCAAAATTGTAAATTTTTCATGATGTAACCATTTAATCTATAAGATATTACTTGGAAGTCACATGCTTTTCCACACTTACTTGCCTTGTATGACATTCAGCAATATAACGTCTAAAACGTCTTATGAACACGTTTCGCCTGGGGGTGAAGTAACATATTTATTGTGAAAAGGCGTGGGTTACAGAGAATGACCACCTTTAAAAGTCTATGTCGCACAATACCGACCAGCCGTTCCCGCCTTCATTATTTTAAATTTTCTCCGAGTGTCACGTGTTTAATGTAAATTTCCTCAGTAGTTATATACTCGGCTTCAAAGATCGTATGGTTAGGAGCCAATACCGCAACAAGTTCAACACTACATGACTGACAACAACCGGTACTGCAGTTCGTCCCAGGTTGATTGAAATCTCTTGCAATAACTTATGATCGAATTTAGAGCAGATATATGATAACGTCATTTGCACTATCCGAAGGCACACTATGCGTGTTAGTTTACGGGTTTTCGCGCACATGTAACATATTGTCGTGGATTTTATGTTTCGTTATTTATCAGCTATTAACAGCCTTTTTTCCATCATAGGTGACTTCTCGTAATCTTTGTGATTGGAAGATAGTATTTATTTCAATTTATAAGCAGTTTGACGTATTTTGTGCTCACCACCTAAGTAAACATGCAGTTGGCGTAATATGGTTATTTTTTAATAATACAAGGTCAAACAAGTCAAATCACCATTTTTCTAGTGAAAAATAGAAAACAGATTGACTTTTCATGAATATAAGCCGTGAAAAGCATTATATATGGTTCACCTCCTTGATTATGGTGACAGCAAACATAGATGTTCGCAGTCGTTTATACGATGTTATCAGAAAGAAGTAAGCATTAAACTAACTATGGATATTATATAAATTGTTTGTATTTAGCCATAAAAGGTTATTTGCACTAAAGGTAGCATTGTTTGGTATTGAAGTGACATATTATTGTGTAACGTATCAGAGAAAAATTATGTGAGTAAGAATTGATGTTGATAGTCTTTTTTACCGGCTTTCTGAACGTATACAGGAACAGTGTATAACACCACATTAAATAGGCACAAAATCTTCATAAGTGAAACGGTGGCTGTCTCTTCTGAGCATGGTGACAAAACCATGTCGTACTTAATATTGATTCATGATGTGTCTGTTATAGGGTTGACGAATAATTTTCTGTAAACGAAATGCACAGTCTCAGACGAAAATGTGAACAAACTTATGATGCATATTGTCGAGTAATATCTAAATGGTATTTACCAATTTTTCTTGCTAATACCAGATGTATGTACGAAATAATAAAAGGGTTAGACACTGAATAAATTCCCAGTGCTTGTTACGACACAGACTTGAATAAAAAACAACTATTCATGAGTTAATTCATGAATTCCTACTGTATTATAGACTGACTCGTCCGAAGTAATTCATGCAGACAACGGGACGAAAAGTGAATGAGCAATGGAAGCAGAATCACAAGTTCCTTGTATTCATATCTCGTTTATGCCACATTAATGAATAACATTTTCTTCATAATTCAGACCACGCTTCTTTGTTGTGACGAAACTGATTTCAGCAATTTTTAAATAACATTGATTTATGTGTTGTAAAGATTACCTATTAATTTTTATTAAAGGAAATAGAAATCTCTAATGATTAGCGCTGTCTGCAAATAAGAGACTTATAGGTACATTCTGTAACCTGCTATTTGATGTACTTATTGAATGTGATACTTATAACTAGGTCTAATTCTTTATTTCACAACTGATTTGTTTGTTTTTCAGAATTGTATGAATCCAATAAAGTCGTCAAAGGTTTGTGATGTTTACGCCGGTCTACAACTTACAGAATTTGTTAAAAAACGGTTTACATGTTCACGTTAACTGTGTTCCGTATTGCCTAGTAACATTTTTATTCAACTAATGAATTAGTGAAATATAAATATAGCAACTACACTTATTGTCTTACTTTATAAACCGTGTCCGTCTTTATAAATAGTCGATATGACGCTAGAACAAATATAGATATAGAATAATATGAACTCCTTATAATCCATGGAGTGAACAAGTAATAAGATGGATTATGTATTAATTCATTTCACTTTTAAAATTTAGTTGCCGATTTATTCCAGCACCCTGTCACTTACATCTGCTCACTTAATCCTCTGTAATTATGTGACCTCTTCAAATTGTAATAAGTTATTACGTGACCCAAGTTTTCAGTTCTTAAATCCACGGATCACTTATAGGCCATAAGATTTTCACACCACTTATCTGTCTGTGAACTCCAGTCCACTATTACACCACCCATTCTTAATGTGTTATTGACTGTAAAAACAAATGACCTTTGACCTTAAACTGCATATATATATATATATATATATATATATATATATATATATATATATATATATATTAAGGTATGTCAACTGTTTCCCACATCACTGTTAAATCCTAATGCATATTTAGTTATAACGAATGCATACCACTGTTAATCAACATTTATCCTGGTTTCATTTTAATTCATAAGCGGAACTAATCACATGGAATTAAAATCTTAGCTACTGATACGATTTTAATTATAAACGTAATCCGACGAAGGTGAATATGATATGTGGGTGCCTAATCTGCAAGATTGTACGTGGATGTAGGGTTTCTGAATCATTCTTAATTATTACAAACAGTTACACATGAACGTCATTGCTATTTATTCCCACGAAACTAGGAATAAGATGAAAATGAAAATTATGACAGTTTATTGAATAATCATTGCTGCTAAAGCAGAAAATCAAGTTTACAAGTTGGTATTAAGAATTCTTAAGTAATAATTGTCCACCTTCTTCTCAACTTCCGTTGCAAAACGTTCACCATACTTCTCAATGATGCGTTGCTTATGGATTCTTTGACTTCGTTGAATACTTATATACACTTCACTCCGTCGTGTTAATGCAGTTAATGTATAATTTTGGAAGTTCTGGGTATTATGTAACTTCCATCTGCTACAATACCTAAGAAGTTGATGAGCTATGCAGTTAGTACTTCATAATTGATATAGCTTACCTGTAAGATTTCGTCTTTTAACGCAGGCAAGTAGCATGTGACGGCAGGGATATCGGCACATCATAAACGTGCTACAATTGCATTGACAAATGCTTATATCAACTTCATAATGTTGTCCGCGATCAACCATAAACAACCAATCACCGCTTTCATATTCCATGTAGACAAAACGCATTTGTTTAAGTTCGTATAACAATTTTGATCTAGCGAATGGGGTCAAAATGTTTAGCAGGGGTGTAAGACGCTGTGGAGCATTATATTTATAAGATCTTGCGGCTATCACTTGATCTTCGATAACTTCATCTGCTGACTCACAGTGAAGTATTACGGGCTTCAAGTTCTCTTTTTCTTCTGACGATAATCTCCTTGTCAATGGATCACATACCATCCATGAACTACTACATGGATGATTGTGGAGCATGTTGTAGGATTTGATGACATATCCTTGCTCCTCTAGTCTTACACGAAATTTAGACCTTAAACATAAGATATTAGTTAAAGATCTTACGATTTTTGCCTCATTTTCAAACCTTCCGATTTCCTCTTATGACCAAACGTACAATTAAACGATACAAACAGGTTTTTGAACCTCACATCCTTCAGCAATCTGCTTTCTGTGTGGATGTAACGAGTATAAGTAGTCTGAGAAGCGATAAAATTATAATTCCATACTTTTTGGAACTCTTTTAAGGCGCTTTCAAAATCATCCCACAAGACGAAACGCTTGTTCAGTATCATACTTCGAAAGGCATCGGTTAGGTCGACTGAAATGTCACTTGAGCATGAAGCACTAAAAACAGAAATGACTAATTATTAAAAGGTTATTCCTTGCGACAATAATAACCCAAGAAAATACTACAAATACTTAGGATTTACCTGTGACTTGACATTTCGTTGAGCTTTACTACAGTTGTTGGGATCAAAGATCAAATTACAAAGCAACAACAGAGCCAACGTGTACACTACAAAACAGAGAACGCTAAATTAATGGTTTTGGCATTTATTTCGTGCTTTTTTATGTAGCATAACATGACTTATATATGAAAAAACTTCGTACTCATGCAATCCAACCAACCCACGGCAATTGAAATACGGAATGACCGCCTCTAGTCAAGCCGTTCAAGGTCGTTGAAACGAAAGGGCGGGCACATTTCAAAAGGACCTAACGTTTAAACCTTGCCCTATCCGAAATATCAGCAGCTGCGTATATGTGTTCCAGAAATAGTCCATGATTCGAAATGTTACCTGATATCCAGACCGATTCTTGCAAACTACTCAAAATAATGTTTATAATCTTATTAGTTGAAAGAGAAACAAGACATCAATGAAACAACCACCATCATGTATGGTTTCTCAATTATGGCGATAGAGTCTAATTTGAGGGTTAGCTGCGTCACGGATTTCGGGGGATTTTGTCAGACGTCTTATAGATAATGACGTTATTTCAAGAGATCATTCGCCGAGTAACTTCACTAGCAATAAAACTGATATATCAGCACCTACTATAGTAGGTGCTGCTTTGATAATGTTTTAGAGGTCAGTTGGAGCCTTATCTTTCAGTAATAGTAGCAAAAGTGGTGATATAGCCATTATTGGTTACTTAAAATTATCGCGTATTGATGGGTAACCTACAAGTGACTTCACTATAGAACTCATATCGCTTTATTGCTTACATGTTATGCCTGATTCACTCTCAATATTAAAAAATGTTATTGACCCTTGAGAACGAACCAAAAAAATTGATTGTGGGTTAACCAGACTCAAGAGTGGCGTAAGACCAATCCTATCTATTGACTAACATCGCTTGCGAAAGGATTCACTGGGCATGAGGTACAATTAACAACATATCTGATATCATATGAATTGTTCCGCGTTTTCCGGACGCATTTTAATATTGTTAATCCTAACACTATATATACGTCATATACAACAATAAAAACTACAAATGCTTTATCAGAGAGCGTACTTCTATAACACAAAGATCAAAAGTACCGCACAAACGTACGTGTGCACAGAATTCCAACATCTCAAATTTCGGCAGCCTATGAGCTCGAAATTATGCAGAAAGAAATTACTTACCGCTTACTACGAAGTAGTGCGATATAAAAAGCAAAGACTTCTCGAACGGTAAGGAACAAAGGTAAGATGAGCAAACAGAATAAATGCAATTGACAGTTTCAGCTTCTTAAATTTCCATATTATCCTCAAACGCATTTTTTGAGGAAAATCTTAGCCAGAACTTTACAAGGTGCCATAACATTAGTAAGTGAACGTCATCTAGAAAAATAAAAAGTGGTATTGATGCCTTCTTATCTATAGAATCAAGTAATGCATAGTGGTCACGAATACTTACTGTAGTGAACGCGGACCGAGTGGGAAAACCAATCCATTGTTTGTTGCAAAATCATAAATTGACTCAGTAAAATATGAACATCATAAATTAAATATACCACTTGCACACCTTAGGCCAGCTATCCTTTACATGCCTAATGATTGTTCTAATCCTATTGTTATTCCAAATGTTCTCTGTCTCCCTACCTGTTCTTCTAAATTCAACCTTTTGCTGGAAAGCGTTCCACTTCTGATTGATGCTACATCCTACTTACATCCGTCAACCTAAGTGGCGTACACCACAGTACAGGTGCATTTAAACGTTTCAAACCTAGAAAACTAAGTACAGTTGGTCAATATCTAGCCACAAGTTGTAGAGTATGCAGTGCTGTTAATGACACGACGAATTACCTGTAAATACGAATAATCCAATACATTACAGACAAGTAACTTCAGACTGTATTTAGCAAGTAGTGTGAAGATATGTATCAGGGATAACTAGTCAAATGTTTTCATTAAGTTGTCTTACCTTTACAATATTTTCATATCATTTTATAAGGGTAACATAGCAGACAGCCTGTTGATAAAATACGACCAGCAGCAAAAGTTGAAAACACGTCAACATGCCAGCTGAGCCACTTGCACTTTTTTATGATAAAAGAGGTTTGAAAATGTATTTAACAGTACTAACAGTAAACTACCCCCAAAAAGTCATAAATCAATTATGTTGTGCTTAATCAGATGTTATTGGTAGACTTCAACATATAGAAATTAAACTGCTTAATAAATAAATCAAACTGTTTCGTAATTTGTGATCCACGTGACTTAGTTATTGCTGATGAAATCTGTGTTGTTCGGTAAAGGGATAACAATGATCCGAAATGTCACATAATGTTGTTGAATCAGATGAAAAATTCAATAGTCTTTCAACTTCAAAAGTTTGACTTTCATAAGAACCAATCCTACACCAACTCCGTTGCACTATTGAGTTTCATTGTTGAACGATCTTTCGATTGGACAATGTTCACCAGCTTTCTTGACTATGAGAAAGCTTTTAGCAGTGTGCATGAGAGAAATTTATGGAAGCTTTTTCGACACTAAGGTGTATCTGGGATCGTCAAAATCATGCAGAATTCGTGCGGCGAATAACACTTCATAGTTGTACATGGAAGAGGACTAGCAGATGCATTCCAAGTGAGTACTGGTGCCAGAAAAGCGAGTTTATCCTTTCCCTTTCCCTTTCTACTGATGTTTTACCAGATGGTGAAGACCTCAACATCTCAAGAGAAGAAATAAATACAGTGGACGGCTTGGAATTAGCCAAACACTTTGGACGAATCACACTTTGTCAACCGAACCACATGTGATGAAAAAGCACTGTAAGAGGTAGAACCTTTCACATACCTGGGCAGCATCACCGACAAACTTGGATGACTGATGCAAACGTAACGAAAAGGATTGGAAAAGTAAGGACAGAATTCCTACAACTGAAGAAAATATAGAGTTCAAAACAACTGTCAACCAATATCAAAGTTAGGATCTTCAATACGACCGTCAAGACAATTCTGCTTTATGGAGCTGAACCCTAAGGAATTACTACAACCATCATCTAAAAGGCATAGGTAATTACGAACAACTGCCTATGTCCGTTGACCGGACGCCATTGACAACAACCCACTGTGGGAGAGAACAAATCAGCTTTGAGCTGAAGAGGAAATCAGGAAAAGACGCTGGAAGTGGTAGGTGGGACAGACATTCCGGAAATTATAAAACCGTATCACGGGGCAGGCCCTAACCTAGAGTTCTGTATGAGTGGTCACTACCTCCACATTGTACCTGCTGGTAACATGGTGCCCTAGTGGTGCTGCTACTTATTGTCGCATAGGCTCTATATATTCCTGGAGGTGTGGGTCCTCAGTGTTGCCGACGATAGTGTACGTTATGGTTCCGCCTATCGTCTGGTATCATGGAGAGGAATACTTATTTCCTGCTCGATTTGTGTGGGAACAGCGCTGGCTATCCTTTGGAGTTGCTTTGGTGAATTCAGTTTCTTCGCCTATGTTTTTCGGGAACCTCTGGGTTCAGAGAACTGTTGGGGACGGTTGGGGACACCAATCTGAAGCGGTTCGGAAACAATGGACCGTTAAAACAGGATATTAAATGTAGAGATGATGCCAGCAAGAAGGACCATCAAAAGAGTACCAGGTCTTGTAGAACATCGTTTCCATGGCACGCACTAAGTGTTGTTCCGTTTCTCAGTCTCAAGTTCTCTATCTAAAAAGTTTTAGAGTGACCCCGTTAGACCAACAGACGTCACGTTCCAAAATATGTTAAGGTTTGACTACAGTCAGTAGTTCGGGCAATTTCTAATGGCTGATACACACAAAAAGTGTCTAACGACTATCTCATGGTTTGTGGCACGCTGGAAATCTATTGTGGACTGAACTTTTTGGTGTTGCTTTGGTATGCACTAAATACACATAAAGCTAGAAATAATCAGTTAACCGATTTATTTTTACAGTCCTTCGGAGGAATCGGGAAAAATATTTCTATTTTTTCTAAAAATTTAATAACCGATGTCACATGTACGAAACCCAAGTTATTGTGATCCATTAAGTTTTAATTAAAGGTTGGTGGGTGAGGTTGGCAGTGACGTTACCCCATAAGTTAACCATTAGTAGAAGTGCTTGACGTATATTTTGCTATAGAATATAAAAATTCCGTGACATATTATGATATTTAATACAGACATGTTAAATGAACATAATTGTATACTCATTTTGGAATACGGTACCTTACCGAGCATGTGACACAATTGCATTAACTTAATTTTATGTGTTGACATGTGCTCCGTTATGTGATCAAGTTGTAAGCCTTATATGGGAATTTTTTAAATGATCCTTTTGTTTGAGTAACATTCTATGTATTCATCTATCTATGTATGTATGCATATACTCCTGTCAAAACTCTAACGATCTAATCAGTGAATCGCTGGAAGGTGCATGTAGTTGCTCTTTGCCGCGTTTATAGGCATCAGCCATTTTTATACCAGCTAATTAGAATATCTAAGTCTGCCTGAAGTGCGCAAGCGTCTGCGTCTCTATGATATTTGAAAATATTTGAATTATCGTATGAACTAAGAATCCCAGAACTAACGCAAATGAATCAAGAATTACGACACAAGCACAACGAATGTATTGTATTTAGAATTCGAAATCGAGCATTCAACAAGTACAAAAGAACCATTAGTTAATTCAAACACCACAGTCTTCCATTATTTCTCCCCAGATTTTTACATCATCAGTGTATAATAACATTGAGAACTGTACTATATACTTGGGAGATCATTTGCACACAATATAAAAGATGAAGGATCTGGGACAGAATCTTACGGCACTCCACTAAGTACAAGTTCCCAGGAGGAGCATTGGGAATTTATTCGTAATTTCTGCCTACAACCTATCAGGAAAACTTCAAGCCATTTTAGGAGAAGTTTTACAATGTTTAGATTTTCCAGCTTCAATAGTAGTAGAATTTTCAGCACCTTATCAAATACTTTACTGAAGTTTTGTGTAGACAACATTCACTAAAAAATTGAACCAAAAAACTTTATATTTGCTAATAAATCATTAACTTGGGTTAGATATTAAAAGTAGCAAATTAAAAGTTAGAGAACTAATCATATAATAGGAACGGTCAGTACGGAAAATTATAGTGGTTATCCTTCCATGAAAAAACAGATACTCATTCGTACACAAGGGCATTCTCAATAATAAAAT